GTTTTTTTCAACCTAAATACATCGCAGGTGCCAGCTGAAGTATGAAGAGCGAATGATCCTCGCAAATATCAACCGGCAGGTACAGATCTCCAAGCGCAAGGAGTTCGCCATCAGAGATCTACAGAACGTGCGAGGTGCCTCTGGGTCCAGCACTGCCTCAGGCACAGACATCAGCCGCAAGAGCAAGTCGGACGAGGAGTATGATCTGGACACGGAGTTTGATCTCTAAGTTCTTCACTTGATCTCGCGAGCATCATTTTTAGAACAATGTTTTTCTTAGTGTGTCTCCGTGCGCGTGTGCGTGAGTGTTTCGACTGCATGGATCGAAGCAGTCATGGCATTTCATAGAGAGGCGTTTACTGAGAAAGTCAATCCCAGAGAAATCATACAGAGTGGATGTACGTGTGTGAGCGTTCAAAGTGGTTGGATTATAACACATGGGCTGGGAAAAAGAAGAAAAGAAGAGAAACAAAACTTTGAAGCAAGCATGTAGAAGCGTACTATCGAGATCATATAAGATTTTCTGTCCTTGGCCGTTCGCGAAATGTTATGCACCCTACATCATGAGAGGTGGAATGCCACAGTGCATTGTTAAATGGTTCCTATAATATTAGGTCAGATACCATATTATACAAAGGAAAGACCTGAGCGTGATCCTTTGCCACTAGAGATGTCTGACATCCAAACTTGAACAGGCTACTTCGTCTGTCATTCTTGGGTGTCTGTCATTAAAAAAAAAAAGTTAAGTAGTGATTCAAGTACTCAAACAAACTCGAGTTTTTTTCTAAGCGTTTTGTCAACCGCTGACCTTTGGAAGCCACTCGTAGCTCCCTCTATCATGAAATAGAGCCCCTGAGAATGATTTCATTTCCTGCACTCAGATACTGCAATCGGTGTCAACTTCATCTTGTTTTGATTTATCCTTCTTTTTTTTTCTTTTTTTTTTGCTCCGATAAAAAGGCCTATACACGTTGTACATATAACCAACAACAGAACTTGCCCAAATCAGGCAGAACCAACAGTTCGTTTTTACCCTATAATTTGTCTTCGTCATCTTTTTGATAAAAGTGTACGCCTTCGTTTTTGATAGTAGACATTCCATACTACATGTACCCTTGAATAGATCCTGGTTGTTTTATAAGCAACCAGTACGTGAATACTATTGCGTTAGTGTTGTTTGTTTTGACAAGGTTCCTCGATTGAATATTTTCCCTTTTCTCTGTATCTGTTATTTTTGGTATTCGAGATATAGTTATCAACGGATATTTGCGGTCTGCGCCGTTTCATTCCCTTTCTTATACTGTTTCTATCGGTCGTGCCTTTCCAGGCACGAAATGATTGTCATAGTATGAGTAACTCGCTTCTCCTTAACCAGCTAATGATGAACAGATTTTTTAAAGTGTGTGAGTGTGTGTGTGTGTGTGTGTGTGTGTGTGTGTGTGTGTGTGTGTGTGTGTGTGTGTGTGTGTGTGTGTGTGTGTGTGTGTGTTGTGTGTTTGGGGTTTGTTTGTTTGTTGTTGTTTTTTTGTTGTTGTTGTTTTTTTTGGGGGGGGGGGGCGGTGAGGGGTTGTATAGTCATAACGTCAAAACTGTCAGGGCTAACCATTTTACGGAAACGATTCTTTGAGAGACGTGTGCTATTTGATGAATGCCAGCTAAAAACTAAAGTGAAAGAAACGTCTAGAATCAAACTGTTATTTTCAGCCTGCAGCGTTAATAACCTGACGGAAATAACCCTGGAGGCAATCAAATACACATTACTTTTTATTATAACACAGTTCATTGTCCATAAACAATTATTCCTCGCCTCTCTCCCCTTCTTTCCTCATCTAAATATGTTTTTGTCTTCGAGACACAAGGCTATGATTCTAGAATGTTTCTTTGAGATTCATCTTCATTTATTCATTCTTTGGGAAATAGAGAGAATACTGAACTCCTCCTAAAACCCCTGAGAGGTTGGAGAACGCCCCTACTGTTTTGTTCATTTTCCTTTAGTATTTCTGTCTTTTTTTCTGGGCTCAAAATAATCATTAATTTGTCGATCTATCTAATGCTCTTTACATTTAATTTGGCTTATATATTTATTTTTAAATTTTATAATAATTTTTTTTTTTTAATGTTGTACTTTCAAAATATTAATGTGGGCATGACTATCTGCTTAACAGAAAGTGCGCCTAGGGATTAAAAATTGGAAATATTTTTTTTCTTTTTTTTTATTACCTTAAGGCATTAATAACTTTGAGGAAATAGGCCAACAGGCCATCAAATACAAATTGCACATTTCATTGTCCATAAACAAATGTTGCGCTTCTCTCCCCTTCCCTCCCCCTTCTCTATTATCATAGGCCTATCATTAATTATTATTCGAGCCTTTGAGGCATAGAGCTATGATTTCATAACGTTTCTGGGAAATTCATCCTCATTCTTCACACTTGCTTAAAAAAGAGTGGTCACCTCAATGCATATTGTGCTTAGAGGACGCCACCCGTATAATATATAGGCTCTAGATCTCTTCTTTCCGTTTTCTGTTTCTGTCTTCCAGCCTTGCTTTTGCTGAGCACAACGTGACCGTTATCGTGTCGATCTGCCTCTCTTTACACAAGGCTTTGGAAGTGTGTGTGTGTGTGTGTGTGTGTGTGTGTGTGTGTGTGTGTGTGTGTGTGTGTGTGTGTGTGTGTGTGTGTGTGTGTGTCTAGCGGAGAAGGAGTGTCATGCTGTACTTTAATTATTCTAATATTAATATCGGAACTGCTGTCTATTTTACGGAAATAGCTACTCCTAAGGTTATTAATATCTCATTGTTTCCCCTCGCAGCATTGAGAACTTTGAGGAAACAGCCATGCAGGCAAACAAATACACACTGAACAATTCATTGTTCATAAACAATTTTATTATTTCTCTCCCCTTCCCTTCTCCTCTCATCTCCTGAATAAATAGCATCTCCTCAAGACACAGAGCTAACATCCTATAACATTTCCCTAAAATCCATCCACATTCTGTAAGCTTGTTAAGAGAATAAAAGAATATTCGCCCTAATATCGGGAAGGAAAGACGACACAAACAAACACGTCCAATCAAGATATCGATCTGCGTTATCAATAGCACCTGTGTCCACGCACAGCCAATCATGCACAGACACAAAAGCCCCGTCCATCCAGTTTGATTAGGCTTCAGAGGCAACCGGCTCTCAGCCAATAGGATTAATTATTTATTGAAATACATTTAAAAGTTTTGTAACAAACAAATCTTTTAAACATACGTTCTGAAACGACAACATCCGTTCTAATTTGCTGCATGAAAGAGAAGAAAGTGCGTGTGTGAGGGGGTAAAAGTGTGTGGGGGGGGGGGGGGGAGTAAAATGTAAATTGAAAGTATTATTTGTGCTTCATATTTGAAGTGTCCTGAACTGATTTCATGCTTCTAATCCATTATGTTGGCGGTGACTGGACCTCAAGTTTAAATATATATTCATATAAACATTTAAAGAGATACATAATAATAATAGATAGCATTTGTATAGCGCATATCCCCGCTCAACAGCAGGCTCTATGCGCTTTACACTATATTATTACCCCAGCAGACCATAGTACACTCCGAAACATTCTCAGCTTCCCGGGAAGCATACAGTGCGAGCAGCCGCTGTGATCTGAGATCATGATCTGAGATCTTTCAGCTGTTGTTTCAGTGCTTTATTCAATGACAATGGCCTTGACAATGAAAATGACAATTTTTATTCAATTCACTGGGAGAAATTTGTCCAGGTCGTTCACAATGGCGGCTGTAAAATGTTGCGAGGGTTAGGCGCACTCACGCATACAGACAACAAGACAGGACGATTCAGTGTTGTTGTTGTTGTTGTTGTTGTTGTTGTTGTTGTTGTTGTTGTTGTTGTTGTTGTTGTTGTTGTTGTTGTTGTTGTTGTTGTTGTTTTCGATTCAGAACAAGACAGGGCATAATTAGTAAATGCATGTTTTACAAGCTGAAACAACCCACTCTGTAAAACATTCTATCTCTCTCTGTCTCTCTGTCTCTCTCTCTCTCTCTCTCTCTCTCTCTCTCTCTCTCTCTCTGTCTCTCTCTGTCTGTCTGTCTGTCTCTCTCTCTCTCTGTCTCTCTCTCTCTCCCTCTCTCTCTCTGTCTATCCCCCTCTCCGTACCCCCCCTCTCTCTCTCTCTCTTTATCTATCTATCTATCTATCTATCTATCTATCTATCTATCTATCTATCTTTCTATCTATCTATCTATCTCTCCGCCCCCCCCTTTCTCTAACTTTCTATCTCTACCTCTCTCTGTGTCTCTCTCTGTCTCTCTCTACCCCCCCCCCCCCAACTCCATCTCTCTCGCTCTGTTTCATTTGTAGCTCTTTTGTCATGTACAGGTAATGTGTTACGGATATGTCAGGTTTCCGCTTGTCAGGTGTGACTAGGCGTTCGTTTTGCTTTGTCGTCTTGTTTGATGGAATTGCCTCTGGGATTTCGTTGAGATTTTTAAAATCAGTTTCCATACTCTAGCGTCACCAGACGAGCTGGCAGAATCTTCCAAAAGGTTGTGCCACCCGTCAGGTTTCACCGTGCAGATGGTACAGCGTCCTGTGCTTCCCCGCAGGCCTCACTCAAGCCATTCTTTTGGGCAGGTCTCATTTCTCGGCGGAACTTGCTCCACTTGTGGGTGGCTTCCAGTACTTTGAGTTTGAGTATTTCTCAGGACTTTTTGTTGTAAGTTTTAGTGAAGTTTTTACGGCGCTCGCAACTGCATAAGGTCATATGAGCGCCAAGGGATGTATGTCAACAGAGAAGTCCTAATGGGGAATCAGGCTTACTCTGCTCACCCCTCTAGCTTCAACCGCACAATATCTGCTTCGACTATCAAGGCATCCCGGAAATAGCAGTTCACAAGATCAAGAGAGTGACTAACATACAAAAAAGTAGAGGAAAATTGACGATAGAAAGGACGAGGAAAGAAAAAGCAGCAGTTCCGGCATAGAATGGGCACGACAATAATGACGTTAATAAATCAGCCCATTTACAAATCTACCGTACATAAGAACATGTTAATATCCGCCCTTTGGGAATGCCCCAAATACGACTTCACAGTCAGTAGCACTGCCCTGGTGGAGTATTCTCAGGACTTTTCTCTCTTTCCTGGATTTATTGGTCCAATATGGGTGTTGGTGGTATATATCAGGATGAAGTTAAACTCTATCAATACGTTGCAATTTAAGATAGTTGTCGATGTTTACAAGAAGAGGACTAAGGAGGACTTGGATCGAGGGTGTGAAAGATACCCTGAAAACTTACAGTGCTCCACCCAGTAAGGCCATCCAACTTGCTAGAGACAAAAAGCTCTTTCTCCCCTCGATGCCCCAGAGGTACAAGATGACGGATCAGATAAAGTAAGTAAGTTGCTGTTTGCTGCTGATCACCTGATCCTTTTGATAAGTTTTCATACAGATCTCTCTATCCGACCACTGATTTGATGAATATGTTGTGGCTAATCATTACATCGCTGGTGGAGTGATGAAACCTCGTAACCCTCAATTTTTTCTAAAATCGTTTTTTTTGTTTGTTTTTTGCTTTAATGTCTTCTCCCAGTCCTTCTTCACATTTTGTCAAAAGCTGTAGGATAAATTATAAAGAGAAAGTATGAAAAAAACTACTAAAAAAACCTTGTATGTTTGCCCCCAAGATATCCTGGCTTGATGAAACCTCGCAACTCTCACCGGGGGCGCCGATCTGCTTTTGCGTGGTTTCACCATTCCCGTTTGAGAGAGTGACGTGCTTATACGAGGTTCTGGATAAGCCTTCTTTATGAAATGACTTAATGGAAGCGCTCGTAGTTGACATTTTCTGGTGCATTTTATATACCTGATTGAATAAAGAAATATTTAATTAATTAATTAATTAATTCATTCATTCATTCATTCATTCATTCATTCATTAATTAATTCATTCATTTATTCATGGGTTTTATTTCAGTCTGTTGAGAAATTC